GCCGTGTCGAATTTTTTCTAGTATTTCTTAGGCTGCCAGGCAGCACCATCTCTTCGCAGTTATTGTTTTCTTTGTAGTATCAATGTTTTTGTATCTTCATTATTTTTATAAAACATAAGTATATTATGTTTCTTATCATAATCAAATAGTTTAGATAACATTGAAACAATACAAAGAGAAGATAAAAAAAACATGATATTACAAAGAAAACAATACCTACATCATTTATTAAGATGACAATGGCAAAACGGTTACACTAATATTATTATCGTGAATTACGTTTAAATACACCCGTTTTTACGGACTTCTATTATATGCGCCATTAATTACATATTTGTTTAATGTGGACAAAGTAATTTGTCCTATAATTTGAATAGGAACATTCCAGCTACAAATCCAAATAGCTCGATTAATTCAATACATATACAGTTTATTAATGCGGCGTTAAAACTCATATTTATATCCTAAATTTTAATGTAATTTTATTCCAATCCGAGATATTCAAGAGAAGCGGCCGTCTATAGAATAGAGGTAACTTTGAAAAGGATAAGGTCAATGTACTTTCAGATATGCGTTGGTAACATGTGAATTGTTAATTTGTTTAGGTATCAATGGGTGCCACAGTGTTTGTTTGCAACAAATTTTAGAAACATCATTCTTCTGTGTGCTGTTCTTGCATTGCAAAATTGATACGCTATGCTAATAAGCTAAATAAAATGTTTGGATAGAAATTTGTCGCAATAGGTTATTTGTTATTATAAAATATATCTTTAATACTAAATACCTAAAAATAATTCATCTCTTAAATGTGTAGTATACCTACACCAAAATTTATCATTTCATAGAAAAAAAACTGAACTTTACTTATTTATTTACAAAGCAGTTAAAAAGATAGCTACTTATTTTGTTATTTCTTTGTAAAATGTAGAATCTTGATCGGAGATGGCAAAAAAAATTGGTCCGTTACTAATTTAATTAAAATAAAGAATTACAATAGAATATTATTAGCCTAACCTAACTATGTGACCAAATCGAAGTTTGATCAAAATGTGATACCGACCTCGGTTTTTAAACGTTCGGCGATGCTCTACGTGCCTTGCCGCTGCATTCGCAGTTTACTTCACTATTACAATCAGTGTTGCCACCTCGGATTTTGAAAAAGGCGTAGGCCCGATGAGAAAATTACGTAGAATTGGTAAATTTTGCATATGAAAAGTACGTAGATCTACGTACTTTTTTTCTGAGTGAAATGAAGAAGTTAGGTGAAACATTTATGTTTTAAATTATTAATAATTGTTCTATCAGACCGAAAAAAAAATTTTTTTTTTTATCTAGAAGACATACAAAAACGCTATTTAGTCAATTGACTTATCTATGCTATGACGTCAAAACATTTGTAAATAAACACTCGCAAGCAAGTAAGAAATAAACTTTCTGAGTTAATATTATAAAACCATGATTTCTAATTGATCACATGAAAAATAAAGTAGTTATCATGTTACACATGACTCTACAAAAGTTGTGGTTTAAATTGCCAAGAGAAATAAACATACTTACACATGAACGCATGTTTAAAACTTGCTAAATCCTGTAACTTTATCGACTGAAAGTCATTTCTTTTTGCAAAGATCAATTCGATGTAAGTACTCATTGAATAATATTTAGAGTTTAAAAATACAATTTTTAAGGTAATGAATGTACCTACTAAGTCAAAGAGTTTTGACGTTTCTGCTTTCACAAATCCTGCGTCCAGCATTAATTTAGTCAACAAAACCAATAACGGGATCCTTTTCTACAAAATACAAGAGTTTTTAGATACATCTTTATAAGAATAAACATTTGTATAGTTTTTAAGTAAAGTAACGGAAAATATTCTTCTTTATTCTAGTGAATTAAGTTATTTTACAAATTTGAAAAAATTAAAGAAAATACGTAGATTCTGGGACTGGAGTTAGTAGGTTTGCAGAAAAGGCCTAAAATACGTAGATCTACGTAAATAGACGTAGAGTTGGCATCACTGAGTACAATATTGTGGTTACTCCATAGTAACAATAGTGTCGTCTGCAATGGACTGACGATATCAAGCGAGTCAGGGGGACCCACAGGATGCGTAAAGTGCACGACCGTTGTATTCGGAAATCCTAGAGGCTCATGCCCGGCAGTGGACGTCCATCAGCTAATTATGATGACGATGATGCAATGATGTCTTCCGTTAACGAGTTTAGTAGAGTATGTGTGTGTAACACGTGGAATATTAAAATATTTACTGTGCTATACACAATTCATGTTTTCTAATTTTGGAGAGAGCTGTCAAACTTAGAGCATATATATATGCTCTAAGCTGGTCAAAAGACCATTATGGTAATGGATAAAGTACAGAGCGAGAGTAAAAAACACACAAAGCAAATTTGTACCGCTTTTTTGTCAGTGTATTTACAAATTGTGGATACTTTATGGAATAATAAAAATGACATTCAGAAACAAATTATATGTTTCAATTACCAATGTCGAATCGTTTTGTTTATATATCTCATTCTTTCATTTCATCGTGTTTAAGTATTTAATTATTTTAATAACATAATGATTCTGGATCATTAGAAACGCAAACTGTGATAAATTGTTTGTAGCAACGAATATTAAACTCTGATAGCGTAATAAATGAAAAACATAATTAACATATCGGGATTCTTTCTTTTGTGACACAATATTTTGTAATAATAATTGAGGATGCGGACAAATGTTTGATCATTTGTAACTTGATGAATAAAATGTAAAAGGGTATTACTTTATTTATCTTTGACCCTTGACCAACTAAAAGTTTTAACCTCCCTCCATTTTATTTTCATAATTTTATTTTTATTTGCAAAAGTACATGCGTCACCCGATAGAAGACATCTTAACTTGTCAGTAAAATAGTGATTTATTGTGATTCAGTCTGGTTTCAGCCTGTCGCTTTTTAGGGATCCGTAGTCCTGACAAGGAATCCTTATAGTTTCGTCATGTTCGTCTGTCATTTCTGTCTTTCTGTCCGACCGAGGTTTTGCTTGGAGATTGTTGGCACTAGAGAACTGTTATTTTGTGAAGGCAGAGCTGCCAGATCAAAAATCCAATTTAACGCTAAAATATATTATAAAGCTCTATATTTTAAGCGCCTTTTGCGCTTAAATTTTTTTATTAAAAAAAACAGCCAAAACTCAACCGAAACGTCAAAATAAGTATCTAAATTCCAAAATAATCTGCCATAGCTTAAATAGGGCTAGTTTCATTTTGGCCATTCATGTATTTTTTGTATTACAATATTTTTCATATGTCCCAATCCCAATCTGTTGCAGAATGTCTAACTAAAACTAACTAATTGTACATGATTTTGACGTGACAACGTCTTAAATTAGGTTGCGGCTGGGAGTCACTTATGAAAAAGTGTAACGCTCGGTAACGTTACGATGAGTCTCTCGTGTTAAGTTTAAGTTTACATGTACAATGTTTTAGTAAACAAAATATATTTCTATAGTTAAAATTTGTGCAATTCTTATTTTCATTCAATTCCTTGTTCCTATTGTGCAATTTAATTATATTCATATCAATAAATATTCTACCGAGAAAAAGACGTTGTCACGTAAAATCTTCGCCCGTAAAGCCGACTTTACAGGCAACCATTTTTTTTTTAACTTCCACTAAAATTTAAACATGAATGAATGAAAACAAAACCAATCATTGGCAAAAATATTACTACGTACCCGCCGTGTTGTTTTGTGACGCATCAGAGATATATTCGTTTCATACATTTTGTAGAACGGTTAGAGCGAGAACACACACGTAAAGTTTTAACCGTACTAAATATAGGAAACCGATACCTCTCTTAAGCGTCACAACACAAGACGACAGTTAAGTGTAGTTTTAATATATAAAATAATAGAGGGGCTTCCCGGGGCCATAAATTATCGGTAATAGAGTGTTACAATGACATAAATGAAAAAGCGCCAGATTATCCGATAGGCGCTAAAATTTCGAAATAGGCGCTAACCACACACACCAGATAAGCGCTAGATCTAGCGCCCAAAGCGCTAAAATGGCAGTACTGTGTGAAGGTGTGTATATTGCATATTAATCACGCTGACAAAGTGGTACAATACATTTTTTTAAATATTTATTTCAATGTAGCTCCTGTACGTGTAACGTGGGAATGATGTTTTTTCATCGCGTCATCGTGTGGAGTATACTTGAATAGGACATTTAAAATGACTTAGGGGTTGTTAAGACTATTTTTCGATTTCGGGATCCGTTTGCCAATTAATATGAACCTTTAAATTGCTGATTCACCCTCTTATGGTAAACTATTGGTTTAAAAAATCTGGAAAAATTCATGATATGCTTTACATGAACTTTTAAGGAATTAATAATTTTATTTATTCTATAATATTTGCATGCTAAAAATTAAGTGGATGTATAAGAACCAATGATAAAATTAACACCTTATCATGTCATTTTCGTTCATTCATTCACGAATCACAGGCACATATTAAAACTTAACATTCGGAAATAAAAACCTTTTTGTTCCGTGGTCAACAAGGAACCATTTATATATAGAAAGTAATTGAGGAATCCAGTTATAGTTTCATTAGTCCGATCATCCGGTCCGGTCCATACACTATATTTGGCATTTGAAAAGCATGTCCGTCAGAAGACGCCAATAACAGATCTAAAATTAACTAAATATTAAATTTCCAGAGTACCACCAGGAAGGACCATCTATATCACTGTTTAAAATCAACTAAGACGCGTAAATAATCATACTTATTAGATATCTAATTAATATAATTCCTACTCTGAATGTGGGAAGGAAAGGTAACCCCTGACGGATTTTCTTGGGTTACTGAACAACTTTTAGTCGGGTTTGTTAAAATATATATACACATTATGATCTGTGTGGCTATGTTTAAATTTTTCGTATTGAATTTATTAGCTAAGCTCCTTTGTAAGGAACAGTATAATTTAGGGATGACATCTAATTATGAAAACCTCTTTTCAGATAAAATGGCTGCAGCGAGTGTTTTCAGCAGAAGTATCAAAAGGCTTTTGCCTAGCAGGACTGCTACGCTAAGCTTGAGCATGAAAAATAGTGTGTGGACGTCGGATAATATTGTTAAATCTCCTTACAAAGAAGTCGATATTCCCAACAGAATTCTCACTGAGCATATTTGGGAGAACTTAGAGAGATGGCCTGATAAAGTAGCTATAGTACGAAAAGTTTTATTTATGTTTTCAGAGTTAAACAAGCATAAAGAAAAATAACGGAGTGGTATTGTATCATTTATATGAGAAAATACTGCGTTACGAGCTCGTGTTGGAATACAAATAACTGTCAAATTGCATAATTTTCCTATTGTGTATGTCACGGTACATAATAGTTTGGTTACAAAATTGTAGACCGTATTAAAGCTGCTATACTATCGGTAGCACAATTATAATTATCACTCTTACAATTATTTATAGTATATACTAAAAAGAATTGTAAGGAATGGTTAATTGTAAAAACTGTTATTTAGCTATTATTTATATAAAAAGCTATAATTTCTACTGTAAAAAGGCCATAAAGTCTTTTTGTTCTGTGGTCATATAAAGTGACAAAAACGGACAGAGGTAAACATCTATCGAGATAAATTAAATATTTATAGCATGCAATATATTGTTAAACTTTTGTTCATACATGGGTACTCTTGCCACGTGTCAATGTTCCGCGGAAGAGGAATACGGTTGAAATTGACAATGTTAGGAATCAGAACCAATCAACTAGATGAGCTCTGTACAAACGAGCCAAAAGTCTGACTGCGTTTAATGGATATCTGCACCCATGTTTGTTCCCTCTTTACTATGAAGCTGCCCTTTTGGTTGGTATTTACTGCGCTGTGTCTATGAAGCTATTGAAAGTAAAAATGAAGAGAAATCTTAAATGCAATCAGCAAGCTACATGTAAATTAATACAGATATCGAGGACTTGCACTTGTACAATAGGAAATGTTTATTATAATTAAGTTCGACGGGATATAAAGCACTTCTTTAAAAATTATAGAGGTTAACACTTTATTCAAGTTAAAAATTAATCTATATAAATAATTCTAAGCAGTCTTTAGTTGTCAGATAATCTGCTTAGAGAAGTATAAAATCCGGAGCATATGTTGGTTAGTTGTACTTAAATGTAAAACTGTATTTTATTTCATAAAAAAAAAAAACATTATATTTTTATTTATTTTAGGTGTGTAGTTTAACCGATCGAGCAATAACCTATCATCAACTTTATAAATACTCAAAGACTTTTGGAGCCCAACTAAGAAATAAATTTCAAATCACCGATGGTGATATTGTATGTGTGATGATGAACAATTTGCCCGAATATGCACCAGTAACTCTCGGTACAATCGAAGCAGGAGCGATACTTACTACCGTAAATCCTACTTACACACCATGTTAGTATAAATGTTATCTTTTACCTTCTGTATCATCTGAGGATTTGGCGAACAAAACGGTATAATTACATAAAATAGAATTCTACAGGAGCTGTAAAAAACTGAATGACATACCTACAGTGAGCTTTTGGCGTGGTTTTTTATTTATAAATTTAGTAATATTAACACTGTATTAGGCGGTTTTGAATCAAAATGAGTTGAGATTCAAATTCAGCGGGCCCAAAACCTCCGGACTGTAAAAAGAAAGGAGTTTGACCAGATGCGTAATTATACCGTTTTATTCGCCAGCTCCTCTTCTCTTCATTAGCCTATTATGTCCCCACTACTAAAGCACTGGCCATGGATAGAATAGGGAGATTGGGCCATGAACCCACCACGCTGACCCAGTGATTGGTGGATGCTAATGACTGCAGATGCAACCGGGAATAATGGTTTAACGTGTCTTCGGAAGCACGAATTAGCTTGAGATAGTTTCAGAACACTCATCCGATGGTCAGCCTTTGTAAAAGTTAAAAACTTCAACGAACACAGACCGTACAAGGCAATTACCTGCAAAATCGGGCGCCTCGTCTCTAAAACTTTACCTTAAAGGTCCTTTATATGTTTGGGGTGTACAATAATATTATATGTCTCGAATTCGATATGTCCTTCAAGGTCTCGGTAGAAAAGTGGTCAGCGTGTCCGAATAGGCAAGAACACTGATTTCAGCCTAGTACTTGATTGAGATGATTTTGTTTAATGTTTTTTTTTTACGTTTATTACACATATTTTGCTACACATTATTACATTATCCTCCTCGATTACATTCGATATATGTTGGGATTACGTCAGGTCATATAAAATTAGAATCATTATTGTCACAATGTGTGTAATGGAAGTATATCTAAAATATGCGGTTTTTGTAATTTGACTTCATATATATATATGTTAATTTGATCAACTCATAAATGATATACGTCATGAATAAGCCCAGGTTCCATTTTTTCAGATGAGGTTCACAAACAACTATTGTTGTCGAACCCCAAAGTGCTGGTTGGAGTTCCTAAAACGGTGCCAATATTGAAAGAAGCACTTAAATTGGCTAAGAAACAAATTCCTATTATTAGCTGTGATAATAAATCAGGCATTCCTTTGGGGACTGTATCGTTCCAAGAATTAATTGAAGACAATCATGTTAATTTCGAAACTCTCAAAGAAGTCAATTTAAACTTTCAAGATGTTATACTGTTACCTTATTCTAGTGGAACCACTGGACTACCCAAAGGGGTAGAATTAACAAACAGGAATATAGTTGCTAACTGCGTGCAACAAGATGACAAGGAGACACGACATTATGACGATACTACGAGTAAGTAAAAAAAACGACCAACGGCAAACAGAGTAGAGCTCCGTAGTTGCCTGTCGTTACCACAATTTATAGTTATAAAATTTCAGTGAGCAAAAGTCTTTATTTTCTGTATCGGAAATTAAAAAACTCTATTAGTATCAAACTAGGTATCTCAACTAAAATACTTAAATCAAAGTCAAACTGAGTCTCAATCTCAAAATAAATAAAATATAATTTTTCAAGGTTTTACGCTACAATAACTTCATATATTGATGTTTTCTTCCAAATAGTTTTCAATAGGTAAGATTTTTTCCTTAACCAAAGTTGAACGACTATTACTTTTAAACTAACAAATTTATCTTAACCGTTATAATTTTTCTTCAAAGTTCATGAAAAACACTATTATCATGATTTTTTTCAGGTTTTCAAGCCAATAGTTTAGCTTTTAGAGCCCTAGAGGGGGTTCAAATAGCTGATATCTCACATAGTCCTCTCATCTCCACACGATAGTGTAGACGATGAAAAAAAAGTCATCCCCAGGTTACATGTAGGGAAGCTACCTTAAAAAATATGTTTCAAAAATTAATTCTACCATTTTGTCGGCATAATTGCTATACATATCTCCAAAAAATTACAGTTCTCTAGTGCTTACAGTATCCAAAGAAAACCGGGGACGGACAGACAGACATGACGAAACTATAAGAGTTTCTTGTCAAGGCTACGGAACCCTAAAAACGTGTACCTTTGTGTATCTATAAACGTCTATCTATGTAATCTTGACCATTGTGTTCTTATTCAACTTTTACTCCAGGTATAAACCAGGACTCAGTTTTGGCTGTCCTGCCTTTTTATCATATCTATGGGCTTTCGATAGTTATGCTCCATAAGTTAACTGCAGGGTGTAAACTAGTTACGCTCCCCAAATTTCAACCCGATAATTTTATAGCGGCACTAGAGAAATTTGATATAAGCTTGCTTTGTGCCGCACCACCGTTAGGTGAGTTTAATTTATTACTAATGATTTCATTACTATATAAATTGTTTTAAACTTAGTTCTTTACTAATAATAATAATTCCATGACTGCTTATACAATTTTAGTTCTTTTTCTGGGCACATATCCGGCTGTGAAATCCAAACACTTAAAGTCTGTCAAAAGAGTAACATGTGGTGCAGCACCATTACCAAAACCAGATGTTGAAAAACTTCTTGCAAAAGGAGAGGTAAACTAAATAAAATAATTTATAACACATTTGCTCGTAAGCGTCTCTTATTGCACCAATTTCAATATCATAATCTATCACATTACACACGTGTGCGGTAATGTAAAGTAAAACGTACGGCTTATTATGTTCCGTCTAAAAACGAACGATACTTTTGTAAATCTTAGCAAAGAGTTTTTATGTCAGAAAGGTTGCCAACATTTTCTTAATAAAATTAACTTTGGGAGATAAAATATAATATATAAACATTTAATTCTTTAATTTGATTCCTTTGACAATTAATTACAACCCTGTATCGGTAACAAATTCACAAAAATATTAATTTACTTTATTAGTAACACTGGCTGTTTTTTGTTCCTTTGCCTAAAGAAGCCTTGATGTGCGCGGATCGCTAATCCGTGAAAAAGTTGTTTCTTTTTCTTTTCGCTTATTGTTTTTAATTGAAAACATTGTCAAGTAGCTACGAATTTATTGGTTTGACACCGCCAGAAGTCGAAAAAGGCTGCGCTAAGCCTCTTGCCCGAAAAATCCACGGATAGATACTTACAGTCAAGCGTATCAAAATTTCATCTCATGGAAAAAAAGTGCAAATTCATATTCAGAAAGTACGTACGTAGGTCAACGTAGGTAGTATTATTTCCTCGCAAATATGTTATAAAACGTCGTGTGACATACGTGCGATTTGATAATTACAGCCTCTGCCTTCTTATACACTATCGCCTCGGCTGTAATTCTCAACTTACCACACTTATATCATAATGTACTATTATTTAACATCTTTAATAACGTTCATAGTTTTATTAAATAATGAAATCTGAAGTGGTTTTGGCAGAATAGTAGTATTCGAATATTTTCCTTTATACAAAAATTTAGGTGATAGGAACTTTATTATTATCATAAATCGTTTAGCAAAAAGTTGACATAAATTATCCCTTGCAGTAAGTTGCTGTTAGATTCATTGTTGGAACATACCTTATTCTCAGTTTACTGGCAAATTATTTATTGCTTAAATTAGCAATCTATATTTATTAAGAAGTTTTCCAGTAGCACATGCAAATGCTTCAAGTTTATGGATTAACGGAAACATCGCCATTAGTGTCAACGCTTACAGCTGGGTCTGAAAATTACACCTCTGCTGGAAAGCCTATTCCAAACACCGAACTGAAAATAGTGAATTCAGATGGCCAGAATATTGGAGCGAATGAGGTAAAAAATATGTTAAGTAGGTATAAACTAAGTTTCTAAAACTCCATACCTCATTCAAAATATATGAATACAATTTTCAGGTTGGAGAGCTATTCATAAGAGGGCCACAAGTCATGAAAGGTTATAGAGATAATTACGAAGCTACCAAAAATAGCATTACGGAAGATGGCTGGTTCAAATCTGGTGATCTAGCTTCAATTGACGAAGATGGCTCACTCAAAATTGCGGATAGATTAAAGGAATTGATTAAGGTAAACCTAAATTTGGAAGAAAATAAAAACTCTGAGATATACTTTGGAAGAATTTTAAAATAAATTAAACTGCTTTTTAGGTCAAAGGATATCAAGTTCCTCCAGCAGAATTAGAAAGTATTATAAAGGAACACCCGGCAGTACTTGATGCCGGTGTAGTGGGTGTACCTGATAAGCATACTGGTGAAAAACCAAAAGCCTTTGTTGTACTGAAAGAAGGATACAGAATAGAAAGTAATGATATAGCTAATTTTGTAGCAGAGAGAGTGACAGAATACAAAAGACTCAAAGAAATTATGTTTCTGGATGGATTACCAAAAAATCCTTCCGGAAAATTATTGAGGAGAGTTTTGAAAGAAAAATATTGCTAGCTAATTAAATAACACTACTCAACAAATTTTCAACTTTTGATTTTATCTGAGGTCGCATTATGTGATTACTATTTCTTGCCACTAAAGTAATAAAAATATGCAAATATACACACACCATCACATCTCAATGTCCAGATAAACATCCATGTCCGAAATCACGAATTTTCCATAATTTTATTGTAATTTTAATTGAAATGGCGTAGTTTTTTTGGAGTGGCTGGCTTTTCTCTTGTACTCAGTAGCAGGGGTCTCTCTAATAAGGCTCCAACAGTAATCCGCGAGCATAGCAGGCTCCCATCTGCCTTGAAATCGCTTTTCAAATGCAACAACATCTTGGTGAAAGCGTTCGCCATGTTCGTCACTGACTGATCCCATATTTTCAGGGAAAAAGTCCAAATGCGAGTGAAGAAAATGCAACTTAAGTGACATATTGCATCCCATTTTATAGTAGCAGTCCAATAAAACTTTTATTTTTCGCGAAAATCTTCAGATTTCTTGTTACCAAGGAAATTGTTAGTGACATCGACAAAAGCGTTCCATGCTTGTTTTTCAATATTATTGAGAGCAGATATAAAAGATGGATCTTGAATCAGCTTTTTTATGTCTGGACCTACGAAAACACCCTCTTTAATTTTCGCGTCACTAAGCTTGGGAAACTTTTGCTTGAGAAACTGGAAAGCCTCTTTGCTTATTTTTTTCACAAAAATTTTTATGAGCCCCAGTTTGATGTGCAATGCCGGCAAAATAATTTTATCTTGCTCAATCAATGGTTCAAATTTTACGTTTTTCTGGCCCACTACTAGAGAGTGACGTAATGGCCAATCTTTTTTAATAAAATGTTGAGCTTGAGCTCGGCTATCCCACTCGCAAAGAAAACAACAATATTTTGTATAGCCTGACTGCAAGCCTGTTAACAAAGCAACCACTTTAAGATCTGCACAAACTGGCCATTTATGATCTCTGTATTTAATTTTTTCTAATAAAAGTTTCATAACGTCATAAGTTTCTTTCAAATTAGCACTATAAGCGAGGGGCAAGGACGGTAACTCATTTCCATTATGCAACAATACTGCTTTCAAGCTACTTTTTGAGGAATCAATAAATAAACGCCATTCAGCAGCTACATGATTTTGCCCAAGCTGTGCCATTAATCCATTTACATCATTGCAAAAAACTAAGCCATCTTCTTTAGAATAGTACGGAACCAGATGTGATATCGAAATAAAATGTATACAGTATTTTTATATTGGTCAAGCTTATTATGAAATAATATGAATTGGGTCAGATATTTTTTAAGTGTTGAGTAGTGTAATTATTAAACTTAATAGTAAGTGTTTACATTAGCATGTATTAATTGGTTTCCTTTATATAAATACCCTATTTTGCTTTTTTCAGTTTTATTTCCATTTCAAGAATAACCTTTATCTATTTCCAAGACTATACTTACCTTCATTTTCATTAAATTCCATCATAATCAATTTAATAATTGAGGCGTAAAAGCGTAACAAACACACAAACAGATTGTCGTTTTCTTAAAATAAGTATATATAGATTTAGCACACAGGTGCTAGAAATTATTGTTTATTTATGTAGTAATCCCACCAAAACTCTAGATATAGCATATGGTTTGTATGTACATTGTACCATAATTATAATTGTAATATTTGTGTATATTGTTATATCCATCCATCGATAAATCATATAAATCGATCTTTCCGGCTGCATTTCCTTAAAAACCACTGACATATTTGTTAATTATTCTAATTGATATATTGACAAAGCGTATTTTATTTAAATCTTTTCATTAAAATTCAAAGTAAGAATTATTTATTTAGGTGACAAAATATATTGAAAAAATAAAATGTTGTTTTCACATCACACAATTCCTTTTGTGTCGGATAAGGTTTTTATTTGTCAACTTTACAAGGTTTCAGCGGGTTGTTAAAAACTTGTCTCTTTGGGTACTCTAAAGTCACGCGCGTTCTTAACATTCGAAGTTTGGTGATCTTCCCCACTTAGGGAGTATCCGTCCGAGTATAAGGGGATACTGTAAAATTGGCAGTATTAAATTTTGGCAATTAAAGAATAAAAATACAATTTTGCTTTTTCTGGATCTTTTTTTGTAATTCATGCTTTTGTACTTTGCAATACACAATTCCTACATTCTAAATGTTACCGCAGACCTTTAAACAATGATATCTAGAAAATGATGGACCGTAATTACATAATAACATAGTTTCTTAGATACCCGAAGTCAGACATCCTAAGTTTGTTAAGATAACTAAACTTTAACGTTATGTTCCGCTCCTGCAATAGCAACTTTGTTAAGTAATTAAGTATTATGGCTTATAATTCAGCAGTAGGTATATGTAATACGCATGGCGCTCAATTAGATTCATTAAAGTTTTGAGTATATTGAAGTTACCAAATTCATTGTGGGAACGTCAACTAACGACAATAAGCACATTACGAGATTGCCTCGACAATGAGGAAACCATTTAAGTCGTACTGTTTTCAACCTGCTCAGTTAAAAGTTAGCACTCATTTACACCGTCTCTAATAAATTTCGTTCATTAATATCAATTTAGTTTACTCTGATTTGAATACAGAATAATTAAATAATTTTGCTTTGTAATGTAAAAGACACGGACATCTTTATTAAATCCTCTAGTGGCCCGCCCTCGCTTGGCTTCTGTGTAAAGCTGTATAGTAGTGTAAACTATAGTTTTTGTTCTCAGGCTTGTATTATACACAATGACTTTCATCATACACTTAAATATAAAATATATAAACCTCCCTGGATTTTTTTTTAACTGATTGTGAAACTTTTGTTGCGTAGTTCAGTTTAGTTGGTCCATGTCCTTATCATTAAATGTATCTTGTGACGCAGTGGTTTGTACACACGCATCATTCTTATCACTCATAACTATTGCACTAATGATAGTATTTTTCTATGGCGCATCGCTACGCGCCGATTGTATCTAATGTGATTCTGATCATAGAAATTAGTACATTATTTTTGATTTGAGTCATCACACGTTATATGGCGTCGTCGGGTGGCATTGGCAGCACTGTTATCGGCTGCTTTCAGCGAGTCAATCCTGGGATCCTTGAAAGCGCGGCCTCTGATCTAAGCGTGATATTTTTACATATATATGAAACAGCATCAGCACAGTCACGATTGGACCAGCGGTTACGTGTGTTCTACTTATGAAATCAGAATATAGTATGCAATACTCTATTCCCATTATGATCTCCTCCTAAGCCTAAGAAAGGTCACCTACCTGCAAGACGGTCCACCAGCAATCATGGGTGACATGATGGCCTCGCGAACTGGTTAAGAACGCTCGGGTCCCTGTACATTGCCACAGGCGACCAACGGGACAGCCATTTCTGCGGGTCTCTATTGCCGGCGGATCGATGCAGCTCACCCGGCATCGTTTCGACGGATGCCTCCCTGGACCGAATCTGTAGCTCCAACACCGCGCTCTTGCTTCTCAGCACTTCATGGGTTATTCAGCATGCGCACGGTACCGGTGGTAACTGAACAGAGTGGGCATCAGGCGCTTTACCACCAGTACAGCTGGTGTAAGCTCCAATATCTTTAGTCTCCTCTTACGACACCCACGAGAAATAAAGGGGCGGTGAGTATACATCAGTTAAAACTCATGCATATACACACAATGTATACCAGAACATTCAAATAGTATAATTCAAGTAGAATTCTTTCTCTATCACTGCACGGATAAAAAGAAAAGTGGTTTTAAGTGTTTTTTTTTTACTTTATTTGTATTCAAGCATCGTAGGCTCATAGATTTATACCTTATAGCCTAACATGGTGGTTATGAGCGATGTATGCACTTTAAGTAAATCGTGATGGCAATCATCATAAAAACATATTTTATAATGAGACATATTTAATAAATAACTGCGTTGCCTAAGTTAGCAGTTACTATTTAGTTAAAACTTATAACATTCTTTATTTCTACATTAGCAAGTAATTTAAAAATAAGTGTAATTGTTCTCAAATGGAACACCCTTCCCGCAATTCTAGGTTAACCCGTCGCCATTTCTGAAAGTATAATGGGAATCTCGGATTTAACTAAAGTTTTAATTAGTTGCAATAGTGAATTGGAAAAGTACGTTCGGACTATTCGGAAAACTGTAGGGGCACATTTGAATTACAAATGTTTCAATTATGCATAATTATTCCTAATCAAAGTATGTTTGGATGGTCAGTGGATTTGAAGACTTTAAATGTGTTTTTTTATTCAAAAATAGCGGCGTAAATTTTTCTTCTTCGGCCCCTACTAGGTATAATTTGAATATATTACAGTTACATACAACACAAAGCAAGTGTAATTTATTAAATGTACATTAAATATACTCGTATATTACTCAAAAATTACCTAACTATAATCTTCTCTTTAAGCTGTGCCTGCTCGACTTTTGTTATTATATGCAACAGCTATTTTTAACAATGCTTAGAAAATAATAAGCTACCGAAAAAACATTTTATAAACTTTCGAAACTATATGATGTATTTTCTATATAATACACGAATAACTAATATTACACAAAATACTTTGTAGTTTTCCCTGTGGGAGACACACAGGGAAAACAACAGTAAATAGATACAAAAAATGTAATTTCTGTAGTTAACAATGTTAATAAGCAATCTCTATCAGAGAAAAAAAATGCGGGATAAAATTTCCACCCCTTCATTTTGCAGGTTATTGTGTAAATGTGAAAATTTTATTACAAATGGCCACAGAATGATAAGGTTTCGCGAGAGCCGGTATGAAACCGAATGAGCCTATTAAAACAATTTAATTTACATACGAATGGAAAAACATAAAACTCGTGTATATTTTTATCGTAATTGCTTTATTGTGGTTATATTGCGCCTAAAATCGTATCTGTTTCGGTTTGATGAAGCCTCCCATTTAGAAATGAACGCGGTAAATAATAATTTACTTACATTCTAAACAATTTGTTTGAGTTTGAATACCTTTTATTTAGGATTCTTATACGCATATTTTGACCACCAGTTACTTGCTTACCTCTCTCCGATGATGAAAAGATCATCATCGGAGAGAGGTAAGTAAACAATCATGGGCTTTCCGCTTTAATTAGAGCTCCCTAATTTTCCTTTGGAGGGTGAGAGTGGTACATTTTTTCACTACAAAATATGAGCAAGTCACACGCGACACCGCTCACGGACACGATATCTCGCTGCCACATGGGACCAGTACGAGCCCGCTTAAGACACGCGTCTATCAAAAATGGAGCAACAAAAAAAGTTATCATAACTGTTCAGTGTTGTTGTTTAAATTTAACATTAAACGGTGAATTGTAGTTTTTTTTTATAATATGTTCCTTATAACATTAAAATTGGAATACTCTAGTTATTATTGGTTTTTATTTCCATTCTTTTTAATTTATTCTCAACAATAAACCCAATTACGTATAATATATAGACAGGTTATACACCAACATTATTGCATTTAAAATGGCACAAGTAGTCCCCGCCCAGTGGCGTAGCGTGCCTTGGCGAGGACTACTTGTGCCATTATATATATATGCCCCGTATAAAAATTTTTTTGGGGGCCCTTAGGAAGGGTAAAGATTTCGCACACAAAAAAAATGTTTGCATAAAATTAAAAGAAATATTTATTCATGATCATTTTCTATCTGTCACTATTTAAAAAAATAGTTTATTTTTTTCTTTTGTCATTTCTAAAAAAAAAATTTTTGCTTACGTCCGTAGCTACGCCACTGTCCTCGCCTCTATTTGACTTGGCAACAGCGGCCAACAGAGTGCACTAAAGTAGTCTCTTTCACCCTCAATCATAAAGCAGATTACATCTCGCTCAATATCCTCTATGTGTCAACGGTGTCAGCAACTGTCAAAATAAGTTATCACTAAATATTTTAACATAAATCTCTTAAAAACTGTACCTACGAAGGAAATGATGCGTTTTTCTTGTCATACAGCAATACATGTCATGCAACAAAACACATACAGCTTTTTGTCTGGAAAAACCTCAAATATTTACACGTTGTAGCAAAGTGTAGCCGCGGCGAGAGAGCGTTTACCTCACTTTCGTATTGCCAAATTAGAAGCGTGTATGACGTATCTATAAAACACTGTACATTTCTTAACTTTAAAAATTATTAAAAAAAAAACAAACAATTAGATAAATACGAGTGCCACTACTACGATTTTTATGTGCACAAGCCAAGTTGATAATACTTGCGCGACCGCCGAGTGTAGGTATGAAGTAGATACATGAGATAACCTTCTGTAAGTACGTACTATTTTGTGTTTTTATCGCATCGTCGATCCCTGCAATTTAACAGGTTCAGCTTATTGTTTATCAAAGCAG